CAGAAAAATGTTTCAATCATTTTACATATGCTTTGATGCTTTAAAGAAGGCATTCAAAGTTGGAGCTAGAAGATGTATAGGATTTGATGGTTGCTTCTTGAAAGGTGTTTCTAGAGGTCAATTACTTGTGGTTGTTTGTAAGGATGGGAACAACCAAATGCTACCACTAGCATGGGCAGTTGTTGAGGTTGAAAACACATTCACTTGGAAATGGTTTATCAAGCTTGTAAGACATGATCTTGAGCTAGGAGATGGAACAGAATTGACAACCATTACTGATATGCAGAAGGTATTTTTGTTTTCTTTTTCATTTATTCATTAAGTTAGATCTCATGTTATTCTAAATGTTGTTGTTTAAAGGGTCTTGACAAAGCTATTCAAGATCTTCTGCCAAATGCAGAACAAAGAATGTGTGCAAGACATGTTCTAGCCAACTGGTCTAAGAATTGGAAAGGCATTGAAAGAAGAAATTGTTTTTGGAGATGTGCCAAATCTACATATGAACAAGAATTGAAAAGAAATTTGGATCATATGGAGAAGTTAGGCACTGGAATATGTGATGACTTATTGTGGTACAATATAGAGAGGTGGTCTAAATTATACTTTAAGTTTTTCAGTTGTTGTGATAGTGTTGACAACAACATGGCTGAAAGCTTTAATTCATGGATTTTGGGGCCAAGACACAAAACTATCATCACAATGCTTGAAGAAATAAGGATCAAAGTGATGAGAAGAATAGGACAATTGAGGGAGTTCTGTGATACTTGGATAACAAACATATCTCCAATGCCCCTAAAAGTATTGACAGAGAACACAACAAAGTCAATGAAGTGTAACCTTGAATGGAATGGTGAATATGGTTTTGAGGTTAAAGACAGCTGGGATAACACATTTGTTGTGAATCTAGGCAATCAAACATGTACTTGTAGATCTTGGATGCTAAGAGGTATACCTTGTTGTCATGTTATAGCTGCACTTCATTTTAGAAAATTGGAGCCCATTAACTATGTTGCACATTGGTATAGCAAGGAGACTTATCTCAAGGTCTATAGTCACTACATTCAACCAGTTACTAACATGAAAATGTGGCCACAGTCGGCCAACCCTTCTGTTATACCACCTGTTATAAAAACACTACCAGGAAGGCCTAGAAAGTGTAGGAGAAAGGAGCAGAATGAAAACAAAACAGGAAAATTGTCCAAGAGAGGTGTTGAGATGACCTGCAGTTTTTGTCATGCAAAGGGTCATAATAAGACGGGTTGTCATTTGAATAATCTAATGCAGGCAGAGGAAGAGGAATGGGGAGAGGATGTGAGCCTAGTTCAACAAGGTCAAGTGTTGGTTCTTCTAGAGCACCAACTGAATCACAATCAAGCATAAAGAGAGGAAAAGGTCGACCAAAAGGTTCTACAAAACAGGTAATGTTTATAGTAATTCATTTAGTTGTTAATTTACATCTTAATCAGTCTAATA